AAATTATAATTATGTTTACATACAACGTGCGACATCTTTCAGCAAACGCTGTAACTTGTAGCTAGTTAAACGCAAGGTCGTTTTAAGAACCTGCAACTTCTGCTACTTAATCCGAGAGGGCGCCGTCAACTGTATGATACGGGGTGCAATCAAAATAAATTAAAACAAACTACAGGATGCATTCAAAAAATTCTTAAAATTATTTCAATTTTTGTTAATATCACATATTTGTGGTTTCCCTACAAATAAAACCGTGTTCGCATTACAACAGTTTAAAAATTGACAAAAACAACAGTTATTTCAAAAACGAATGCAATATTGTTTCAGAACTAATATTATTACTAAACTTTAAAGTGTTTCAGATATTTTACGTAACTTTTCAAGTATGTAATGCTAACTCAAAAATAGCAATTCTAAGCTTATCAAAGAAGCTAAATTTCCAAGGAGTCGACCTTTGCTAAATGAACAACAGTTGTGTGAGCCAAACAATAAAAAGAAGAAGTACTGATTAACACACATATTCGTTGAGGTTACATAAACGTCAGATACAACATACAACATTAATTTATGTAAACAAAGGCGAAATTACGTTTACAGTTGCATATAAATTGTTTATCTAAAATGTGGGCATCATTATTGAACATTGTTTCATTGTGAAAACTAGCAAAATTGTCATTGTCTACAGCATGACTGAAACGATTTTTCCACTTGGTGGTTACATTTTGTTGAACAATAATTTAAGGTAAAATGCAATATTTCATCGAACTTTCTTTAAATTTAGTAATTATTTTAATAGGAAATCCCTCCTGCAAAAGTATAAGTTCAGTTTAATAACATTGACGTTATGTTTGGGCTTATTATTTCTATGTATTTTGTACATATTGAGTATTGGAATTGGTTATAGGGTAGTTTATCCAAGTGACTTTGCACCTGAAGGTACGATATTTTTGTAACAAAAAATATTAATTGTATACCTAATTAATTGATGCTATTACAGATGTGCCAATATCTTGGATCAGACGAGCTATAGCATACAATGCCTTAGACAAAGCAGAGTACAATGGGGATGATTTTATCAAATTACAACCAAATTTAGACCTTATTGATAAGTATAAGTTAATATGTTATTATAACTTTCCCCTTGATGCTAACACAACAAATGAGTACCTCAAACCAGAGGAGCTGGACCCGTATATGTGCACTCATATAAATGTATGTTTTGGCAGTATTGTTAATTGCACAATTTTTATACCTGAATCTCAAGTTACTTTTGTGGAAAGTATCATTAATTTGAAGGAAAAGAACAAAGACCTAAAAATTATTCTATCTATTGGTGGGGCTTCTGATGATGGTGGCTTTCCTGATATGGTTTTGAATCACAGAAACAGAAAAAAGTAAGTTTTATACCAACAAATTTTTTTTTTGTATTCCATAGCTTTCGAAATCAAAATATACGTAAATTGTGCGTTACAAAACTAGATACGCAAATTCTATTATTTTACTGTGACCTTCTTAACAAGGTTATCAACATTTAAATATTTTGTCATTTAAGTAATTATAGCTATTGAATTGTATTACTCTAAAAGTAGCAAAGAATTGTCTTACTAATTTGTTATTAGAAAAATTTAATATTTTTTCCAAATTGTTAGAAAAAACAGGAATTTTTTGTTGTTTCACAGTAACTAGCCGAGATTTGTAATTTAAAAAATAAATAAATTAAAAATCAAAAATTAAAAATATTTATAAACTGATTATTACAGCCTCATATAAATTTATTTAAAAGAAAACTTCAAATTGCCATTAATTAAAATCGGTAAATTGAAAATAGCTTCTATTTATAAATAATACCTACTCTCTCACAATCAATGCGTTTACGAGTAATTAATTGATTACCTAATTATGCAATGCAGTTAATAAAAATTGTACTTTTGACAGAAATAGATGCACCGCGAAATGATTTAAAGGATGAACCAATTAAATAAAGAACAGTATTATAAATAAAATACTATTTCAGCATAGATTGACCTGTTTACACAAGAACAGACAAATTTTTCATAAACCAAACAAAAAACTCACCAAGCTACATCTTGTTATCGCAAAACAATCAACCAAAGAAATCTTACGCATATATGAATTAGAAAGTTACGTCGACTAAACTGAACCATCACAACCACCATATACTATTTTAGTAAACAAGTAAACTGACCCTAAGAATAAACTTTCTTAACCGGAACAAGCAGTGCGTTGATAGCTGCATAGATATTTATCAGAAAAGATAATTTTAAAAATGACTTTGTTTTAATAAAAACGTTAACAAATTGCAAATCATTCTACAGTAATAATTTAATTGAATTAATTGATCATTGGTTATCTATAACTTCAAAAAACTGCGACAGAAGTACTTACGCACTTGGTTTCAAGTTAATTGTTGTATTGTAGTTTTTCGAATAGTTATAATTAATAAATTAATCCATCATGAAATGGCCTTAAAAGTTATAATAACTTTTTTAACGGGAACAACCAGCGCGTTGATAAATGCATAGATATTTATTAGAAAAGATAATGTTAAAAATGATTTTGTTTTAGTAAAAACGTTAAGAAATCGTAAATCATTCTACAGTAATAATTTAATTAAATTAATTGATCATTGGTTATTTGTAACTTCAAAAAACTGCGCCAGAAGTACTTACATACTTGGATTCAGGTCAAATTGTTGTATTGTAGTTTGTAGAATAGTTATAATGAATGAATTAATCAATTATTAAATGGCATAAAAGTTATAACAACTTACCAGGTACTGAAGACAACTTTATTGGAACCGGCAAATCAAAGCGGAAGTTGCAATTCGAACGGCAATTGTTAGCGAACGTACGTGTACGGCACTTATAACTTCAACGACTTATTAAACTTCGTAACTTAATCATTTCATAATTATAATTAAAAGAGCACATTTACACCCCGCAATAATCACCCACGATCGCGCTACACTCCCGTTTGAACCTAACACGTCTTATCACCGCGACCGCGACTCACCGAATAAAAGATTGGTAATAGATACCTAGGAATTTGGTCATCAAAAAACCCTAAAATTTGAAAACTGTATTAAATAAAATTAATATCTAAACTCAACAGCTGCTAAAAATCTCATGTTTTGTAATAATTCAACTTAAATAGTATTCGTTTATAAATCCACAATATATTTTTAAGTATTAGTTTAAAAATTAAAATTAAAAAGT